TACACAGTCGTGATGGCCGGTCTCAATTCTTTTAACTAGAAGCATCTGCCAGAAAAAACAGTGTCGCTAGCGAAAGAAACTTGTGGGGAACTGTACAAAAAACGCATCTTCACACCGGCAGTCGGTGCGCTGGCCAATTTTTATTTACACTATTATCAACAGTTTTTACTACTATTGAAAATCAGTTCCCCAGTGGTTGTTAGGTTACAGCCGTTGCATATCTTCTGTCATTCTACGTTAGCGCTGATAGTCGGCCCACCGTTTGGGCAGTTTCGTAGCTCTCCTGTCCGTCAATTGATTGTGTATCGCTTCCGGATCTTTTGTGCGTTTTATCATTACAAAAGTGAAATGCAAAAAAATGTGAGTTTCTATAGATAAGTGTATTAATGCATCTTTTTTTTCAGGTTGCTATAATAATTCCATTTCGCGATCGACAAACTCATTTAACTCGTCTTATCGACTTTCTCGTGCCAATTCTCAAACGGCAATTACTCGATTTCCGGTTCATTGTAACGGAACAGGTTATTACTTTAATACTTTAAAATACAGAATTCCGGAAGTGAGGACACCTGACACATCGGGTAACAGCCTGTGTTTCATCCCTTAGCTGTAAATACATCCGGAAGAAAATATGAGGATAGGAATTGGGATCATCAGTGCAACCCCCTAGCCGCCGTGTATACTTCCGTTTTACAGCAGAAGTAAACGAAGATTTTAGGCAAAAGAAGAGAAGGGGAAAGCGAAAAGCAATAAGAAACAGTTGCAGAAAAAAATCGGCTATTAAACAAACAATTCTTGAACAATCGCTTTCGTTAGCGAACCAGATCCTTCGCCATCCTTTTTATACAAATAACTCTTGAAAGAGGGAACCATCGATATTTTGGCTTTGAACAGTCACTCAAGGAAGGGGAACTCTGGAAATATCGAGGAATCTATAAATTTCAGAATATTACATTGTTAGACTGGTTTTTATGCGTTTTATGCTGTACAGCAGCTGCATAAAACTCATACTGTCAAGGAATTGTCTGTTGTATGTTTGTATGTATGTGTGTGTGGCGTGTGTGTATGCGTGTGTGTGTATGTGTGTGTATGCGTGCGTGTGTATGTGTGTGTATGCGTGCGTGTATGTGTATTTGTATGTGTGTGGGTGTGTGTGTGTGTCCGATGCATCTTGTTATTTTTATTTTTTCAAATTTAGAATGGTTTTTTTTTTTTTTTTCCAGTATGGAAGGGATTTATTCAACAAAGGACGAATAATGAATGCAGCTTTTCGATTTGCTGAACGACTTAATGTAAGGTGTGTGATCTTTCACGATGTTGATATGTTCCCGCAGGATGATCGCAACTTCTATGGTTGTCCACCAACACCGCGTCATATTGGTGCTTACGTCAGTACTCTTGGATATCAGTAAGTTTTGACAAGTGATTTATTTCTTGTATTGATGATTTTTAGCAAAATTAATGGCAAATCCAAAGCAAATTGCTCGTTTATTCATCTCGGAAGTGTTCAAATCATCTTTTTTTTACGATTTTGCCAATTTTTGATTATGGGCATGCACACCCTTTGCTGTTATTATGCGTTTTGTACAGCAGTACAAAACGCATGTTGTCACGGGGTTGTCTGTGTGTGTTTGTGTGTGTCCGCAGCAACTTGTCCGCAACTTTCAACTCAGGAACCACAAAAGCTAGAAAGCTGGAAATTTAGGGGAACGTTCCCCACCCACGTGTGACCCCCAAATTTAAATTCAGCTTTCCCGTGCCCGCGGGTAACGCGTACGGCCCCGTGAAAGTTTCTCACGTGTAAGTTAATATCTCAAGAACCACGAAGTCTAGGAGGCTGAAATTTTAGAGGAATGACCCTCCCCCTCCCCTCCCCCCCGTTTTCGCCCTCTCGGGTACCACCTACGGCTTCATGAAAATTTTGGCGGGTAAACTATTAATTTGGGAATCACGGAAAGATATTCATCCTTCAAGGTTTCGAATTCAGCTTTCATGCGCTGGTGTGTGAAATTTTTAACTTTTCCTATGTTTGAACTATTTTTGCATAGACTAAAGTACAAAGCAGTGAAAATCATTAATAGGTAATCGTTCGATGGGCTGAACTGCACAAAACGCATGATCGCACCGGCTAGTCTGGTGCGCGTTGCTATTTATTATTACTTGCCGATAATGGTGGTAATATTTTCGCCGTAAGATAGTACTACTTAACTTACGCCAAGAACATTTGAGAACGAAAAAAGCCTTATTTGGGGGCTTCTTTCGGGGAATCGTTGAGCTAATAATCTTTTTAGGGGGCGGAAAGGACGCCGGGATTAACAGCACGCCAACCAGCAGACGATGGGCCGTTGGTCAAGGAACTAGTAAAATTCCCGGTTGCATAGTTAGGAAAAAGAGCCTGTGATTTAATAGCAGTTTTGATGATTTTTTTTTATTACAGGTTATGGTACAAAGAAATAGTTGGCGGTGTTCTGGCAATTAGCATGGATGATTATAGAGCCGTAAATGGTTATTCGAATTTGTACTGGGCATGGGGCGGCGAAGATGACGATATGGGTTCGTTTCGCATGCTTTTTAGGAACAGTGAAAAAAAATATGTTCTGCAAACTTTATATCGATAGATTTGTTGGGTGTCGCGATCCTAATTGTTAATTTATTAGGCTACTGTGTGCCCCGGTTGTAGGTTTGTGTATGTGTGTGTACGACGTCGCGTCCTATATTTATTACTACATAGTAAGTTAAAGAGATAATGCATACAAAGATGGTGAGGCTCTGGGGAGCCGGAGCTCCTCAGATTAGGAGTATTAGTTAGATAGAAGTAGGACGCAGTAATGGATAGGTAGTGGCGATCCCGGCGATGAGGAGAAGTGCTTTTGTACCTTTCCAGGGGACAAAGATCGAAAGTTCAATGAGGGTAGGGTGGTCAGAGTTTGAACCAGGGCAAAGGTATTGCGTCATAGTAACGCAGTTGTTCTTTAACCTACTTTTAACAAAAACTATTAATCATTATTTGATATATTATACGACATAAGGTTTTGATAAAAATTTGATGCAGACAGCAATGCCAGTAATCTCTGTAAAGTGATAGATTGTAATTCAAAAATTTCATATTCTTTAAGCCAAACAAAAAAA